ATATACGAGAGGGGCTCAGGGCACGACCTCTCGTATACCTTTTCGACCTGGGGGCCGGTCTTACAGTCGCCCTGACCGAGCAGCTAATCCTAGACTTAGAAAATAGTTTGATCATTTCCTTGTCCGAGGATCGAGCCGTGGTTGACTAAACACCGAGAGCGGGGCATTATAGTTTTTTTTGGCCGCCGCCTATTCATTTCTAAGTGAGGTCAGACCTCATTAAATTCTAGATTGAAAACTTTTTTTTAAGTAATGAAAGAATTTGGGAACTTGAGGAGTTTCTCCGAGTTCTACATTTCGTGCTTGATCACAATCTTGGTATGCTCCGCTCATAGGATTTGACAAGGTGTCTTGCGCTCCGTACTTGATCTACAAGCTTGTCCGTCGTGGTCTTCAACGCGTAAGATCAATCAGGAGCCATGCACTGAACTTGGCCGTTTGTCCCGGTCTCTTGAGATTGACCTGGATAACTATGCTTCCGGGTCTTCATGTAACAACTCTACATTGCAAGGTCTGTACCCCCTCGTCAACGGTGCACCCACCCCTCACCTAGAGCGAGGTGGAGATGGACTTTTGAGATGTCGACCCACATAGGGGGTCCGTCCAACCATGATGACGTGATGAGTTTTTCCCTCGGTGTAGGATTGTGTGGGAGGCCCTTAACTTCTTTTGGATAAACTGGGACCGACTTGAGTTGACTCGTACGAGCTTGGCCAGCGTGATTTTCACTGGTATCATCTAGGACATGCACTCCGGGACAGGGATGTGCAACCAAGCCTCCCGGTGACGACCGTGTGGCCATCTCGCTAGGGTGGGCTTGTGCAAGGGTACCCAATTCGCCGGTTGTTGGTGCGAGTGTTCATTGTGGTCTTCCTCTTTAAGTGATCATGCTCATGGTGCACGGGTTCCCGGCGTATGAGCTCTCTAACGGGCAAGAGTAAAACCGTGGTCTCTCATGTACGTCAGTGAGTCGTAGCCGACCACCTGGGCCGTCAAAAGGTCTGTGGCATCTTCCTCCTCCATTAATCATGTTCAGCCGCTCGAGCCCGTACAACGAAGCCTCTTGGCGGTGGCCAAATGCACACGTCGCCGGGTTGGGCTTGTACGACCACACATCCTGGTGACATCCGTGTGACCGTCTCGCCATGGCGGGCTCGTGCAACCAAACCTTCAGGCCGTGACACTGCGTCCACCACGCCAAATGGGGCTCGCGCGGATGATACCCGACCCGCCAATTGTCGATTGGACCATGTTAGGCGCGCAGGGGCGCACGAGCGCAGAGCATAAGGTCGTACACGGTGACAGCTACAACGTGCACAATCCTCATTCGATGATATGCGACTGTGACTTGTCAGTGCCAATAAGTATCTTGAGTCTGAATGCAATGCTTGGTCAGAAAGGATTGACTCGGAGCTCAGCTATCTTTGACTTGGTGCTCTATTTATGTGCAGGTCGTACGAGCGTACAAGTGCACAGGTGTTAGGAATATTTTATGGTGTCCAATCTAATTAAATATCTTTGTATTTGTGTAGTTATTAATTAAACGTGTAATACGGACCACAAATGTGTATCAGCCCCGGGGCTTCCTTGTAACCCGTAAGTTAGCTAACTTCTCCTATAAAAGGAGGCTAACTTACGGGAACCCTAACAAACGATTGAGGCTTTAGAGAATAGAGGCGCAGAGATAGAGAGATTAGGGTTGCCGCTGCTCTCCTTCTTGACCTTGAGATCATTCATACATAAGTTAAAGTAAGTTTTGGCCAAGAAAATTTCATCTTACTCCATAATAATATCAAAGTAAACAAATACAGTCTAACGGGTCAACATATTCTGGGACCCCCATTAATCATACTTTGACACTTCTTAAAGAGTATAAGGATTAATATAAGCCAAATGACATTAAACTTAGGGTATTATGTTTGTCTATTAAATAACTTTGTGTGCACAATAAAGAATAGACAAAACATACTTAAGGAGGGATTCTAAATCAAGTACTTGAAAATATTAAATAAGATAACTAATCAAACACTATGCTATTAATTCCTAAACAAGATCTTTGATCAAGCCCATATTAGTGACATGTCTTTGAAAAATACTGGGCGGAAGTCCTTTGGTGAGAGGATCTGCTAGCATATCATTTGTGCTGATGTGTACGATACAAATTTCGTTTTCCTCCACTCTTTCTCGAACTAACAAATATTTTGTATCAAGGAACAATCCCACTCCACTCGAACTGTTATTGTTTGAGAAGCTCACGGCCGCGGAATTGTCACAATAAATCCTTAGTGGTCTTGAGACGGAATTCACAACTTTGAATCCTTTGATAAGATTCCTTAACAACATCCCATGACATGTTGTGTTGTACACCGCAACATATTCAGCCATCATTGTTGAAGTAGTCGTAAGTCTTTGCTTGTGGCTTTTCCAAGATATTGGCCCACCTGACAGCAAGAAAATGTATCCCGAAGTAGACCTCCTATCGTCTTTGCACTTAGCAAAATCGGAATCGGAATATCCAACTACTTCTAAATTATTAGACCTCTGATAAGTCAATTTGTACTCCTTAGTCCCTTGAAGATACCGTAAAACTTTCTTAGCGGCTTTCCAATGATCTAATCCTGGGTTAGATTGATATCTACCCAACATACCGGATACATATGTGATATCTGGACGAGTACAAACTTGTGCATACATCAGGCTTCCAACTACGGAAGCATAAGGAATGAGTTTCATTTGCTCTTTCTCAACCTCGGTTTTTGGGCATTGGAATGACCCAAAAATGTCTCCCTTAACTATTGGAGCAATTGATGGAGAGCATTGTTGCATGTTGAAACGTTCTAAAATGCGCTCAATGTATGCCTTTTGGGACAGGCCTAACGTCCCTTTGACTCAGTCTCGGTGAATTTCAATGCCTATAACATAAGAAGCTTCACCTAGATCTTTCATGTCAAAATGGCCAAATAATAAGCGTTTTGTTTCATGCAACAAATCCAAGTCACCACTTGCTAATAAGATGTCATCAACATATAACACAAGTATGATGAATTTGCTCCCACTCATTTTGAGGTAAGTGCATTGATCTACTTTGTTTTTAATGAAGCCATTTGATTTCATGACTTCATCAAATTTAAGGTACCATTGTCGAGATGCTTGCTTGAGCCCATAAATAGACTTCTTGAGTTTACACACTAGATGTTCTTGACCCTTAGAAACATAACCTTCTGGTTGTATCATATAAACATCTTCGTGTAAATCTCCATTTAAGAAGGCTGTTTTGACGTCCATTTGATGTAGCTCAAGATCAAAGTGAGCTACTAAAGCCATAACGACCCTTAGGGAGTCCTTTCGAGAGACCGGTGAAAAGGTCTCTTGATAATCTACACCTTCCCTTTGAGTGTATCCCTTAGCAACCAATCTTGTCTTGTATCTTTCAATGTTTCCCTTTGGATCTAATTTAGTCTTAAAGACCCACTTGCTTCCAACGGGCTTTTGACCCTTTGGTAATTCAGCAAGTTCCCAAACATCGTTCTTCTCCATGGAAAGAAGTTCCTCATTCATGGCTTCTTTCCAATGAGTCGATTGGTCACAATTAATGGCATCAAGGAAAGATATAGGATCTAAAACTTTCCCTAAATCAAAGTCGGCTTCTTCATTCAAATATATCAAATATTCGTCAAAATTTGTGGGGGGTCTGACCCTTTGAGATCTCCTTAAGGGTTGCTGATTCTGCGGAATTTCATTAGTAACCGGTGGAGTTGGTTCAACATTGATTGGAGTTTCATTCGCCTCTTGACTTGTTGCATCATTATTATGAGGTGTATGACTTTCACTATGATCTTCAAGTGAGGAGTTAGCTGGAATGAGCAGTATAATAAGTGGATTTATTCCATTGCCCTCTTGAAGTTCATCACAAAAGTTTGAACCATTACTACTCCCACTAATGTTAGTATTCTCAAGGAATTCAGCATGTCGAGTCTCGACAATTCGGGTTGTATGAGATGGGCAATAGAACCTATATCCCTTAGATCTCTCGAGATAGCCAATAAAGGAACAACTGATGGTTCTCATGTCAAGTTTCTTCAATTGAGGATTATACACTTTTGCTTCAGTCGGACAACCCCACACTTTTAGGTACCGTAGACTAGGTTTCCTGCCCGTCCAAAGCTCATATGGAGTCTTAGGGACAGATTTAGATGGTACTCTATTCAGTATGTGGGTTGCTATTTTTAAGGCCTCGGTCCATAAGAATTGGGGAAGATTAGAGTTTGCCAACATACTTCGGACCATATCCATAAGAGTCCCGTTCCGCCTTTCGGCAACCCCATTTTGTTGAGGGGTGCCGGGCATGGTATATTGGTTGATGATCCCGTGATCTTTACAAAATTCTTGGAAAGATCCAGGAGCTTGACCAATATCAGTGTGTCGACCATAGAACTCCCCACCCCTATCAGATCTCACTACTTTGATTTTTCGATCAAGTTGATTTTCAACTTCAGCTTTATAAGCCTTGAACATATCTAGTGATTCGGATTTTCCTTAATCAAATATAGGTACATATAGCGTGAATAATCGTCTATGAAAGTAATAAAGGACTTATGACCACTAATGGAATCGGGAAAAGGCCCACAAATATCGGTGTGTATTAATTCTAACAAACCGGTGCTTCGTGTGGCACCTTTCTTAGTTTTCTTAGACAATTTCCCTTTCAAACACTTCACACATTTGTCATAATCTGAGAAATTGAGATTTGGAAGAATGCCATCTTTCACGAGTCTTATCATTCGATCTCGTGATATGTGGCCCAACCTTTGATGCCACAAATTGGACGATGATTCTAATTCTCTCTTTCTCTTGCAAGGATTTTCAGTTATATTAAATGACAATGGGGATTCCATAAAATTAGTATCTAAGCATAGTTTATAGAGGTTTCCCTCCATGCTACCAAATCCTATTACATTTGAGTTCAAGCTTAATGTCACTTTATTGTATACGAAACTATATGTAAAACCATCAGCACTTAGTTTCGATACAGACACTAAATTACGAGTAATATTAGGTACATAAAGAGCATCACGAAGATGAAGAATGAAGCCACTCTCTAAAATTAATGAGATAGTTCCAATGGCCTTCACTTCTAATTCTTCTCCATTGCCCACCTTAATCACTCTTTGCTTTCTTCTCAATGTCCGGATTGAATGGAATCCCTGCAGTGTGTTTGAAACATGAACCATTGAACCAGAGTCAATCCACCAAGTATTAAGGGGAACTTATGTGTTCAATGACTCATAAATCACATAAGTGGTTAAATTACCTTTCTTAGTCAGTCATGCCTTAAACTTAGGGCACTCCCTCTGGTAATGCCCCTTGAAGCGACAAAACTTGCAGTAGGGACCGGAGCTCTCGTTTGCACCTATCTTTGGGACCTTAGAAGTATAACCTTTTCTTCCTCCTTGACGGTTACCTTTCCTTTTCTTTGAGTTTGTGGTGGTGAGATGAGCAACATCTGTTTTTTCAGTTTTAAGGCGCCCTTCTTCTTGAACGCACATAGCAATCAACTCGCTCATTGTCCACTTCTCTTTCTGCGTGTTGTAATTGATCTTGAACGGACCATATGATGCAGGTAGAGAAGTCATTATGAAATGAACGAGGAAACCTTCACTGATCTCCATGTCCATGCTTTTAAGTTTATTGGACATATCAGACATTTTCATGATGTGCTCACGAATACCACTCACTCCATCGTACTTACTCGTCAACATTTTGAGAATTAGGGTACTAGCATGTGCTTTAGAAGTGCCCTTAAATTGTTCTTCCACATATTCTAGGTAGGTTTTCGCATTTTCAGAGTGTGGAATGGCTCCGCGAATAGCTACATATATGGAATTCTTGATTATCATGAGGCACATTCGGTTGGACCTCTCCCACTGTTCATAAGAACGTTTCTGTTCCACAGTGCTCTCAGCGTTAGGAGCATCTGGTGGATCAATTCTCAGCGCTTGGTCAAGGTCCATCATGCCAAGTGAGAGTTTTACAGATTCTCTCCATGTTGAAAAGTTTGTACCATTTAGAGGTTCTATCCCATAATTGTATGTGGTAACAGTAGATGCTGAAATAAAAGTTTTAACAGAGGTAATAATAGAAGCTATTATTATAATATATAAGGGAATACAATAAGGCATGTCAATCATTAGTAAATAAGCCTATTATCAACACCAAATAATAGGAAAAATTCATATCGTATTTAATAACTAACATTGTGTTGGTTAATGTTAATTATCAAATATTATGATATTAAAATTAAAATTAGGCTGCAAATTGTGTCACATATCACCTTTGGGCAGAAATATAACACATTTGATTACGCTTAAATTTCATTATACAAGTTATCAAGTAACACACCTTTGGGTTTGTTAAAAGAAAAACTCATACAATTATTTAAGATAGTCAAAATCAATAATCTTCCGTTGGGCCAATCATTGAATTTGACATTAAGATCATTAATCAATAATCCATACTATGATTTCAATATGGCAGAAATTTTGAAGTTGCTGCAATATTAGTCCTAACTAATTTTCCTTAACAAAATCAAATGTATAGGAACTATCTAAACGTTATCTCCATTCCAATTTCCGGAGAATTAACTAGAATAAAGAAAAATACCAACCGACAACTAACGTGGAATAAAACTACGTACGCAGTACGCTAGATTTCAACAATAAATTTGCAGATGCAAATAAACTGTCATTTAGTGTTTCAATTCGCCTTTTAAAGCAAATAAATGGATTAAGATGAAAAGTGAATTTCAAACACGAATAAAGCAGAGACACATGTTGCTACTTGCTGATGTGTTGGCAATTAATCCACTAATATACATGAGCAAAAAAATAACACAGTGAGAGACATCACTTTAAAGCAGAATAATATGTCAATCAAAACTCTGGCAGCAACAAATTAAGGAATCAAATTGAAAACCGCCGTTTGAGAACTTAGTGGAAAAATGTTTTCAGAAACATAGTGGAAAAACATACGAGTTTACAGAAACTCAATCTGTTGCTTTCAGAAACTTGCAGAATTCACAAATCGGTTGAATCAATTAGGCAGATTGAAAATTTCTTATTTTATCGAGGTAAACGAGAATTAACTTGCTCGGTTGAGGCATCAAATTAAACTCAAAATGGTTGGTTCAAAATCCAGAAGAAACATGACAACAAGAATTCTTAAACGCCTTTTATTTCATCATGAAAAGTATAATCGGCAAAACTAATAAATCATTTAGGCATATTCAAAACTTCAAATTTTATCAATGTAAGTGAGAATTAACGGGCTCTGATACCAAATGTTGAGAAATTCAGTCCCAAGTAAGAATCTAATCTCACAAACATGATAAAATTCATAGAATCAAGAAATAAGAACACTAACCGGTTGAGGAGAAACTGAATGTTGATGGTGTCGTAGAAGACGATGAAGCCATGACGTTTGATTCTCTAAGGATACAAGCAGATTTCGATGGATTAAATGATTCTCCCTTGGGTCTCTTATTATAGGTGTTCTTGAGACCCTTGGGAATGAACGTGTACGTTCGTTTAGTCGTAAGAATTGAATGAGCGGATGCCTTTTATATTTTGTATCAAAGAGAAACCCATTTGATCCCTTATGTATTATTTAATGTTAAAACATACCCATCATATGTTAACTATACATAAATACAAGGACCAAATCTGTCATATGACAAACTTAATGGTAAGACATAAATGTCCCGAATATATATATTAAATTATATAAATGGTCCAAGGGCATTTAAATGGAATATTTTCCAACATTTTAAACTCGCAGTCATGAACACGAGTTGTAAACTTGCGATTTTCAACTCGAGTTTAAACCTCGAGTTCTGACCTCAAGTTTAAACCTCGAGTTCTGACCTCGAGTTTTAAACCTCGAGTTCTGACCTCGAGTTTTAAACCTCGAGTTCTGACCTCGAGTTTTAAACCTCGAGTTCTGACCTCGAGTTTTAAACCTCGAGTTCTGACCTCGAGTTTTAAACCTCGAGATCTGACCTCGAGTTTTAAACCTCGAGTTCTGACCTCGAGTTTTAAACCTCGAGTTCTGACCTCGAGTTTTAAGCCTCGAGTTCTGACCTCAAGTTTTAAACCTCGAGTTCTGACCTCGAGTTTTTAAACCTTGAGTTCTGACCTCGAGTTCTGACCTCGAGCTCTGACCTCGAGTTTTAAACCTCGAGTTCTGACCTCGAGTTTTAAACCTCGAGTTCTGACCTCGAGTTTTTAAACCTCGAGTTTTTAAAATTTGAGAGTTTTGGAATTTTGAGTTTTGGAATTTATTTCGAGTTTTAGGAACTCGATGTTTTGGATTTCGACATTCTGAAAAATTTCAAAATTTTTGGAATTTCTCAATGTTTTGAATCTTTCAAAGTTTGCAGTTTCTTGGAACTCATAATTCGAATCTTGACATCCTTCGCAGTTCATCGAAGGTTCACATTATAGGATTTCTGAATGATTCACTGCTTATCAAAGTTTTTAGAAGTTTTCGATGTTATGATGTTTTTCAAACAGCAAGTTTTCGATATTATGAGTTTTTGAAACTCGAAAGTTTTCGATGTTTCAAACATTTTGAAATTCCGAAGATTTCGTTATTCTGAGGTCTGTTTTGTAGGTGGATTTCGCCATTACTCTTCAAGGAAAACTCGAAATTAAAATCTCGAGATTAGAACCTCGAGTTTTTGCCTTAGAATTTTTTTTAATTTCACCTGCTCTCGAAATTCAACATCAAGAACCTCAATCTCGAAGAATTTCCTCAAAAACTCAAAATTAGAGATTTTCCAGTGACACCGCACTGTTTTGGCCATAACTTTTGAGTCGGTGATCCGATTTAAGCAAACTTTTTTTATTGGAAATCTAACGAAAAGATCTACATTAATTCTGGAGCTATGCCCGAGAACCCATTTTCACGCGCCCTCACTCACAGTCCTTGAGGGTCAAAACGTTAGTTTTCCGACAAACTTTGTAAATCACCGATGTCCAGGTCAAAACTTAGGCAAATCTGTTCAAATTCTTTCAATGTCAACCCTGAGGTCAAAGCTTTTCTATGCTCCACTGTAAAGGTTCGAAAATCGTAGATAATTCAATCAACCTCGCGTCAACGGTCATCTTACAGCAATAAACAATCAACCACTGAAGCCTCCCCTAACTCATCAACATTGTATAATCCTCAAACATGCTGAATTTCCAAATGATGAGCTTAGGAAAACCGTCATGTGTGGTACCTGTTTAGATTCCTCCACACATATGGCGGGCATGACGAGCTGTGAGCAATCAATCCTTGCACATTCTGAGGGGGAGTTTCAATTTTCTCCTCCTGGCGCCTTACACCGACAAAGCAAGGAATCTCTCAACGGATGCAACATTCTAAGGGGAGTGTTCAATGTTATCCTCCCCGGTGCCTAACAATGACAAAGCATACCGAGTGCTCGAGTTGACGGGGAGTACAGAGAGAAAATGAAGAATGTAATGAGAGAACATGTCCCTATGACTTAGTAAACTCAACTAAGCCTACCCGAGGGACAAAGCCAAGCGTAAGTGAGTGAGTGAGCGAGTGAGTGAACATTATGGGCGTTAGGAAGCAGAAGGCTCAAGTGAGCAAGAATACAATAATCAGTGATGAGTTTGCTACCTCAACTGCCTGCTATGAATTGAACATTTACTCCTAGCCACTCAAATATTCTGGACAATCCCCATAGGTTCAGGAATGATTTAATCAGATCCCGAGTAGAAGTCACTGCATCTTGTTCAACAGTGCATGCTTAACCCTACCCAAGACCACTCACTTGTCTCCCAACAGACAGGTGTTTAATCATATTTCACGGGGAACCGCGTCTCTCATTACTGTCTCCTTCTGAGGCAAGTGATACTGACTACAGTGGCCTCAACCCCATGCCACTGAACTTTCATTGATCACATCATGTCTAGTTACTCCCTCCCAAATGTTTTGAAATTTTCTAAGACACAGACACATTTTAGAGTCACTTGCTAGTCTTCAAGACTTACGAGAACTTCCATAGGGCTCATCTATTACAGATGTAAACCAATGATCGGAAGGAAGTCTTGTTGTTGCAACATAAGAATCACCAACATCTTCAGGTCATCACTTCAAAGTTTATCTCTGTAGTGATGATAACGGGTGTCTTCACGACCCCGGGGGGCTACGTTATCTTCTTTACATTCTGCTTGTTTTTCATGTTTTATTTCCGCAGAATAAAAGAATAAAGGCATGACGCCCCGATTCATCGGATCGTCATGAGGGGAAGAGTGGTCCCTAACTATCAAAAAAATCATTCTGGGACACTTCTCTACTATCTCCACAACTCAAATGGTCAGCTACGCTCAAGAGTCAACCATCATTATGTTCCACTGTGCCACCGATAAGTTCTCCTCAAATGCATTCATTCCATGGGCATCTCCTATTCTCCAAAGAATATTCATTCTAGAGGCGTCACCGGACTTCATCTAAGTTGATCAAGAGCAATTTCTGGACTAGAACAGTGACAGCGAGATCTGGGAGACGATCCTTCAACGTCAGTGGCGAATTCCAGAGTAGCGTGAATCACATGGGAGCACAGGCGTACGGGCGTACGGGAGCATGGGAGCACGGGCGTACGAGCGTACGGGAGCACGGGCGTACGGGAGTACGTGCACACGGGCGCACTGGCGTACGGGTGCACGGGTGCACGG